GTGATTTTGATGATTTTAGGGCTACAAAAGTTTTAAAAGCTTTGTTTAACCACGGAAAGCAGCAGAACATTGAAATTTGCAAGGCTTAGAGTTTGTGTCTGCCCTAAACATACTAAAACTGATGTCTAAATTTAGGGGAAAAATGTATTTTAAGAGGCAAGTCTTCACTTAGGGGTACCCCTAAATTTGCTTCATAGTCAAACCTATCTTTGATTAGCAATGGGGTCATTAGTGCAGGTCTTGGAGCAATGAAACTTTGATGAAAGAAAGTCCTTATCATGGTCTTTTAGATGCATCAATAAAAAAAATGTTTTCAGTATGGACTTACAGGAGCCTTGTTTCAGCCTCATATTGTGTATTTTAGCCTTCTATCAGTTAAACCCGGTACCAACCGTGATTGTGATTCCCATTTTCCACTGCAGTCTCAATGCATTGCAAAGAAACAAAACCTCTGTTAACCTAAAATTAACCATTTTGTCTGCCCTTAAATGCTGTATAACTATCCAAGTTTCCTAATGACTGCAATTGCGCTTTTATAGCCTGTCAATATACACTGCAGCTACCACGAGGATCGTGATTCATCTCGTATTTGTAACCCCCTGCCGCCAGATATTCAGGCTTTGCGATTGGTATGGTCCCAAAGAAAGGTAGCCTACATGTATCAGTGCAAGCTTTAAGGTATAAAGTTAATAGGCCATTGTTGTGGGGGTCACCACATTGTTAAGAACCTTGCTGCAAAGACTACGGCAGTTAGAAACAAAAAGTACACAAATACTTTATTTCAATTGAGACAATAATGCAAAGGTGACAATAGTCATTTCTTTGTAATATATTACTTTATTATGCAACAAATTTAATACTATACAGAAGATATTGAAAGCATGTGAGGTTACTGTTGCATGTAAAAAATAATAAGAAATGTTTAAAAGAGAAACAAAAAACATGAGGTGAAATCTTGACTGTTCTATTTTACGAGGCAAAGCCAAGTGTCATTGAAAGGCCAAATGTCAGGCAGTGGTTATATTCTGTAAAAGTGCAAACAAATGAAGGCAATACATTTCTTTGTAACTGACATATGGATCCATGTCATTTGAAACCTTTTTAGAAAATAATATAAGTAGAAGCTGTTCTTCATTCATTGACACCCTTAAAAACTAAAAGCTAAAACTAAAAACAAAAAGCTCGATTATTTTAAAACCACAAAAATGGAAAACCGCAAAACTTCAATAAGTCCAGTAGGTGATCCACTGATAATATTCA